TCTAGTCTATTGTTTGAGCCTCCATGTGCGTTGGATCTCCGGGCCTGAAGTCCCCAGCCCTCTTTGCGGCCGTTTAGGGGGTTTAGGGTTTATAGGGTTTACAGGGTTTATAGGGTTTATAGGGTTTATAGGGTTTATAGGGTTTAGGGGCTTAGGGGGTTTAGGGTTTAGGGGCAGACACGCCGAGGTGTTCTCCAAGACGTCTTCCGGGATCTAAGCCTGGAGTATCTGGACGGGGAAAGGACTGCGCTCCTCTATCCAAGCAGGAGGCCAAGCCGCTAAATTTTAGGGTTTAGGGTTTCGAAGGACAGGTTGCTGCATCCTCTAGCTGCTCCTTGTATTCTGATAAATACTAATCCGAAGAATACTTGTAACAATATTTATCATAATAATAGGAGCAATAATGCTAATGATCAAGAAGTAGCAGCATAGTTTTGCAAGTACTATGAGGTGATGTTGGCAACGCATGATCGTTTGTGGGCTTCATATGAAAAGCCGTAGGCTTTCATTAAGGGCACCGGGTGGCCCTTACACTGGAGGCTGCGAGTCCCTTGTTCAGAAACTGATCCTCGCAGGATTCTGGCCAGCTCCCAAATACGCCTGATAAGCCTTAAACCCTCGATAAACCCTCAGCCCAAGAGTTGTGAGGGCTTAATCTGGGAGAAAAGGGCACGGGGACTGAGAGGTTAGGGTTTTTTTGAAGGTGTTTAGATGTGCTGCCGGCATCGCGTTGTACTGCTACAGTAGCTACATGTCAGCACACGGCTTTTCCGAAAGCACTAAGCCCCCTCAACCACACAAAATCTCTAGTCATTGGCATCGGGACAACCGGTAAAGCTGTGTAATCGTGTCCTTTTCTTAACGTACCCGAAACTCCAAATCAATAGAAGGTCCTAGGTACGTGGTCATGGTATTCCTTATCGGGTTCCCTACTATACTTATATAAGGCCTTACTTGTAGTAATATATATATATATATATTACTAGTATATATATATATATCTATCTATCCCAAAACCCCATTCAGCCCGTATATGTAAATCAGAAACCCCAAACTAACCTTCCAAGCCTCGAACTAAACTCAAAGCAGCAAACCTGAAGCCGTGAAACCTGAACCAAACCGTTGGAAGTTGGCAGGCTGCGTTTGGCTTCCGGTCGAAGCCCAAGCAAAGACAGAGGCCAGGGTGTGCAAGAACCCTAAACCCTAGGCCCTAAACCGTACGACGACAGCTTGCACCATGTAGTCCCTCAACCCTGATCCACGTCTTGTTGTCTTGTTATGAAGGCCCCTTTTTCCAAAACCTTTGCGATGGCCCTGATGGCAACCCTCACAGATCCCTAAACCCTAAACCCTAAATCCTGAACCCTAAACCCCTAAAATCGAGCAGCAACCGTTGAATGCGGAGGCCCCTGAAACTATAAAGGATGGTGGGAGGGAACCCTTGGGTTGCTGAAGAAGGTCTCAAGCCTGGTCTGAAATCATGTATCTCTAGGGTTTAGGGTTTAGGGTTTAGGGGTTAGGGGTTTAGGGGTTTAGGGTTTAGGGTTTAGGGTTTAGGGTTTAGGGGTTTAGGGGTTTAGGGTTTGGGGTTAAGGGGTTTAAGGTTTAGGGTTTAGGGATGTATCTCTAAGGGACCTTGTAACCATATAGAAATATAGATGCCTAAGTAATCGCGAATAGTATATTTGGGGAACCCTTACCCTCAAAGGACTCGTACTTTAAGGCTTTTGGGCGCAAAGACCCTATCATATACGGCTTTGGGTGGGCTATTTTGATGCTAAGGGTAAGGGACCACGTAACCATGTAGTACTATATAGAAGCCTAAATAATTACGAATAGCATCTGTGGGGAACTCCTTGCTATAATTCTGGTAGATTGGGCCCCCACACCCTATCCTAATTATGAAGGCTTCTACGTTATCCCGAATGAACCATGTAACCACATGGTATATACCTTGGCCCCAAAGTACCTAGATAGGGACTATTTTAAGGGCAGAGTCTATTCTGCTTGGGCACATGCACCCTTAGTCTCACACCGCTACTTGGATGCTTTTCGGACGTAGTAGTTATGTAAACCCTATAAACCCTAAACCCCTAGACCTTAAACCTTTTACTGCATCAGAACCCTTGGAGGCCAAGGGCCCTACACCACCTTCAACCCTAAACCTTGAACGGAGGCAGTTTCACCCCAAGCCCCAGAGTCTATGTCATCTTAAATCCTAAACCTTGAACAGAGGCTTTAGGGCATCTCGCCTCAGCTTTTTGTCTCGTGGCTTATTTCGTGATTCCCTTCAGGAGATCGCGGAGCTCACTGGCCTTTGCGTTCTGCAAGGACCGAAACAGGATGGTTGTCTAAATTAGGGTCCCTTGCAAGGGTCCTGTTTCCAAGGGTGCCCCGGAGAACTACCCTAAACCCGAAAACCTTAAACCCTAAACCCTAAATCCCAAACCCTCCTAAACCCTAACTTTAGAACTAGAGGCGGAAGCCCTGATCCCCTGGCCTCCACGAAGCGCCCAATGCACCTTTTTTGCAGTCTTGGGCCGACTCATGCGCCTGCAAGCAGAACGTTCTTCCCATTCGAAACCCTTCGAGCTTTACACTGGTTTCAAATGGGATTCTTCTATACATTGTCCTGCCTCCCTTCTCGGAAGGTCAATTTCAAAGGACCCTTGATGGCTTCCCACCAAGCATCTGGTCGCAACGGTTTGGTGAGTATATCAGCAAGTTGGGCTCCTGTAGGGACCCAGACGATGCGTCCGAAGGCTTTCAAGTCCTGGCGGATTCCCGCCAAATCAATGGCGAGACGTTTACAGGTAGGCACTCTGGGCACTCCGTCCCGAGTCAAGTGATCATACAAACTACGGCAGTCACTGAGGAAACGTAGGTGGAATCTCGTGCTGCTTCGTGCCAGCTTGCCGGTCAACAACGTCTCTAGGAACTTGGCAATGAAGTCCCCCGTCTCAATGGCGGTTCCGCATCCCATCGTTTCTGCAGCGAAAGTTGATCTGCAGACACGTTCACAGGCACCACTTCTCCAGTCAAGGATACTGCCTTGTCTCTCCTTGCCGTAGAGGATGTCGTTCTCGGCTAGGAAGTAGACTCCCCCGAGCTGGGAGGCAATAGTGGAGTTTGCCTTCTTCATCTTCGCTTCGCGCTTCGCCATTGGGCCGTCCTCGAATTTGCCGGCGAGGTTCTCTTCCTCCGTGAGCTTGTAGTAGGGGTCGTCCTCGGACTGGGGTACGTTGGCCCAACCAGCGTCGTGGTAGCACAAGAGGACGGCTTTGTCAAAGTCTATCGGATAGAAGGTCAATCCCTCCTCCTTGTGCTGAGTAGCTCTCCGCGCCAGGAGGTTGGTGAACTTGACGTCACCGACCGTGGGTGACTTCTGGCACTGTTGTCCCATTGAAACTCCCACTTGTAGGTCCGGTCTTGTTTGTCCTGCCAACCACGACAGGGCCCCGATGAGGGACTGATTGTCATGTTTCTCGATTTCCGTAGCCTCGTAGTAGTCTGGGACGTCTTTCCGGACTTCGACTTGGAACAACCTGGTGTTGGTGTAGCTGGCCTGCGTCACCTTCACCTTGTCGGGGAGAACCTCGATGTAGGAGCCGACGTACTCAAACTTCTCGCCTTCCCAATCCTGGATTGGGAATTCTTCGCTGAGCTTCTTCTTGAGGAGTTCACAGAGTGGGCCGTCTCCCACCAGTAGGACATCGTCAACATGGACACCCAGGTAGGCGCTGGGGGTGTCCAAGGTAAGATTCCCATCATCGTCGTAGCCTGTCATCTTCTGCACCATAAAGATACAATGGTCCAAAGTGCTTTGGACCACCACCCACTCCTCATTGCCATTCTTCACGATGAGCTTCTTGAGCGTCTTGTGGAATTTATTCCACCAGGCTGAGGGAGAATCGACCAAGCCGAAGATGGGCTTCCTGATCAGCAATATCTGTTCGGGATGTAGGTCTCCGAGTCCCGACTTCGGTTGGCGAAGATAAAGTTCGCGTTGTAGGTCTTCACCGCAGAGGAATGCTGCCGTGACGTCCCCGGCGAATCCTTTCCATCCCTTTGAGAGATTCGTCGCCAAAATCTGTAGCAGTAGGTGGATGCCTTGCCTCGAAATCGTCGGGGCATGTGTAGGTAGTCCCGCTAGTAAATCAGGATCTCGATGTCCTGCTATAACCAGTCGAGCCTTTGGCTTCCACCCAATCGCACTGTCTTCGCGACGTCGTGACCAGTTCTTGTCCCGATACGCAAAGCGGCTGTTCAGGACGCGGTTGGGGCGCTCCTGGATGATGCGCCTGCTGTCCTCGACGGTCATGGGCTCGAGAGCCCGGTGCTCCTTGTGCTCCAGCCATTGCTTTTGCTCTGCCTGGCGAAAGCTCTCTTGCATTTCCGGGGGAACCATGCTCCACGGAATTTCCTTTTCCAGGGCCTTCTCTTTCCCTCTGGGGGTCTTGGCGACCTTGAGCATGTAGGCCTCCTGGGAAGGTCCTGGGCCGTCGCTGGATCCAGGGCCTTTCTTCCGGTGCCGTTTTCGTACAGGGGCGGGTTGTCCCTCCTCTGACTTTCGTCTGCTTCCTCCTCCACGCTCCTCTTGGTCAGGTAGTTCCGCAACGTCTCCGGGAGGTAGAGTAGGATCGCCTTCCATCTCCACGTCGGGTTCCTCGTAGATCTCCTCATCGCCAAAGTCCTGCTCGAGAAGTTTCTCGAGATCGTCCCTCGTCGTTCTCAGGGTGAATGCTGCCCCGAGTTCTTCGGCACTGGCAAGCCTGAGGTGTTCAGGGGCCACCAAATGACATCTCCCAGCGAAAGAGATCCAGGAGTTGGATCCTTCGCGTCCTATCACGACTCCAGGCCCGTGCCAAGCCCAGTTCTTGTTGTTCTTTGGCTTCCGGTAGAAGAACACATGTGATCCCACGTGGAGTTCTGGACCTCCCACTCGGGACCTTTGCAGCAGTCCTTTCCTGAGTCGGGCATCGTTTTGACACCGGAAGTACGCTTCCTTGGCCGCGATCCTGAGGGTGTGTTCGCGAGCCCTCTGACGATCGTGACTGATGATGTGCTCGACGTGATCGTCCTGGAAAGAGCCGTGGACATCTTCAGGAAGTCGAGGATCACGACCCCACACGGCCTGAGCTGGACTGAATCCTGCATCGCGTCGGAGGGTGTTCATAGCGCTGTTGACAGCCGTCGCCACCATGTTGACCTCGTCGGAAGTGGCAGACCTCTCATCAACAAGCTTCACCCAGATCTCTTTCCAGGTCCGGATGGCTCGCTCGACCGTGCCGTTCTGCCAATGCGCCTGTCCAGCAACGGCACGAACGTGAGTCCCATGCCATTCGCTGAAACGCCCCAAGCCGGCCTGGAGACCAGATTCCAGGTCTAACACCAAAGTTCCCGGAGCACCAAACGTATTGCTCCAGATCGTGCAGAACGAGGCTTCCATGGTCTCAGTAGAGTGACCTTGAAGTTCTCCGCTAGAGCAAAACCAGTGCCCACATCAATCGCCATCATAAGTTCTACCTTTTCGCCGTCGCAGTCGTACACGTAGAAGGCGTCCACAGCCACTACCTGGTTGAAGTCGAGGAGGTTGGGCAGAGATGCCGGCTTGCTCGATGCCGCTCGTTTGTTGCGCTGGCACACTTGACATTGTAGACGTTTGCATGCGTCCACCACCACTGGGTCTGCTCCGGCAAGTCGTAAATGGCGTGCCAGGTCGGTGTTGGAGGGGTGGCCCAAGTTCTGGTGGAGTCGTCGCAGTGAAGACTTCACTTCGGGGGCCAGTCCTTTCCCCTTTTCAAAAGAGATAGCTTCGGCTCCTGTCTTGTGAGCTCGTTCAGGATCTTCCGGGGCATCTTCGGGCTTGTGGTCCGTAACGTAGCTCTCTTCAGGATAGATCCCAACGTGTTCGTAGATGTTCTCGTGCTCGTCGTTGACGGGTTGTACTTTACCGTGTAGGTCATTGACTCGTAGGACTCCAGGCTCATCATCCCGATGCTCCCACATCCCATCGTACCGCTCCAGAATCCTCTGTAGATCCGGTTCATGCCAACAAGGGTCTCCAGGAGGAGCTTCCAGAGCAAGCTGTCTTCCTCGATCGACGTGCTCGAAGAGGTAGTCGATGATGTTGTCCAAGTAGCTCGTTGATTTGTTCCCATGTAACCAGATCACTGCAGGTGAAAACTCCTTGATGGTGCGCTGGACGATCTGGTAGTCGAGGGTCTCGGAGTCCTCGTCGGGGTAGTCGAAGGGCTCGGCAGTCAAATAGCCGAGAGCTGTCACCTCCAGTGTCTTGTCATAGCCGCCGATCTCGAAGAGTGACACAGCCTGCGGCCCTCGGGCCAAAGGAAAGTGTTCGGTCACGCATGCAGCTCCGGCAGTTGCACACCAGGCTGTGAGAGCAGCCAATCTTCCGGCCTTTCTCCAGAGTCCTTTTCGGATGCTCTTCATGGGTCGATTCCCAGAGATCGTAGTACCATCACCACGAGCTTCCTCGGGGTGTAGAGGAAGTCCTCTCAGTGGGAACCGAAGATCACGAAGTTGGTCTCGTAGGGCCACGCCTGTCTGTTGATATCCTCGGGATGTAAAACACGAGAGTGCCCACCTTTCCCCGCTCCATGGCTGGGTTGCATGCTTCCTCCTCCCATCAAAGGCAAAGATCTTGTTCTTGGTGTCCACGTTGTAGCCGGGTAGGTGATTGCCTCCACTGTCTGTCCTCCAAGTGAGGTCTTGTGTTCTGCGCTCTCCCTCGGGGTCGTGCAACCACAATTCTCCTCCGGAAAAGGGCCCGAAAGAGACCGTCTTGATGCTGCTCCCTGAAAGATTGTGTACATCAGCATGCACGGCTGTAGCTGCATTCTTGAAGAGAACAAATGAAGACCATTGTCCCATTCCCTGTGCCTTCATGAAGGAGTTCACGTACTTCATTGTCCACGGTAGCTGTGAGCTTTGATTGGAAATCCCCGTCATGTTCCCGTGGGTGTAGAGCCCGCCCAGGAGGTACTCGAAGGTTGTGCCTCCTCCTCGACGCATTCCTTTTCCTTTTCGGAGCTTCCGTAGGGGAACTAGTCGGGCGATCTCCAGGAGGTCGTCGAAGGTGAAGCGCTTGTGGGTCAACTTGTAGCGGGCCAGTTCCTCACAGCTCCTTGTCCTGTTTTGTTTACTGTCAAAGATCCCGGGGGTCTCACGCTGGACTACGTCCCCACCGCCTCCAGGATTCATATAGTCGTCGGGCTTATACTCCGTTTCATAGATCTCCTTTGTAACCTCGCTGTCCAAGTGAAAGAGGAACTCGTCGTAGGAACCGCCGTCTTTGTCCTCATTCTCATCGCTGGGGTCGTCCTCATCGTTGTTCGCCTCCTCGCAGACGTAGACGCCGTTGTCGTAGCTTTCTCCATCGTGGTGGATCTCCGTCACGGCCGCGGGGGAATCCCGTGCTGGTCCTTGAGCAGTGCGAGGCGCTCCTCCAAATACTTCACCTCCTCGTTCACGCTGGCCGGGAGGTCCTGCTCCATTCTCTCCGGGGTCGGCATCGCTGGTCCTTCGGCCGCTCTCCTCCTTGTCGGGGCCTTTGGAGCTTGAGCTGCGTATCCCGGGGCTTTGCTCTTGGCCTTTGGTGTCGGAGAGGCCAGGGCTTGTCGATGTAGAACGTCCCATGATGCCGTAGAGCTCGCCTCGTCCACATAGGGGATCGTCGCATTCTCCTCGGCGTCGTAGGGGTCCTGGTTCGTCTTCTCGGGTGGGTTCCCCTGCCACTTGTGGAGTTCTCCCTGCCACCAGTTGGCATACATCACCAGGTCCTCGGACGGGTTGTCGTTGTTCTCCACCTCGCGCAGCGCCCAGGTCCTGTATCCGATCGGAGTGTCCTTGTACATCTTCCCGCGAGACCGCCCGAACCCGAGCACCGACTCCGGACCCATGCCGCCTTGATCCCGAAGAATCCGCATGATCGTTCCCCGAGTCGCATAGGGCGGGACGTGGTAGTTCAGCTCCATTGCCCTCTGCTTCAACTGGTCCAGGCTCATGGCGTGCATCCCTTTGGTCGCATTTCCAGGGTGATCTGCAGAGGGGTTCTTCCGGTCCTCCTGAATGGCGGACCTCAGCTCCACTGTGGACCACCTGTCGTTGACCCATAGGTTGCGAGCGTACGCTTCCTCCAAGAGCTCCGCCTTGTTGAACTCTGAAAGCGTCTTGGCCCTCGTGACGACAGGAGCGGTCAGGAGATCCGTCTTCGGAGCCATCCACCGAAAGAAGGAATGGCGAAGGTGATTCAAGCACGAGGCGTCGTCTACAAAAGACAGTCCTGCCGATCCACAACACCGGAAATGCGGACTCATCATCTCTGCTGCTCCACAAGCCGTGCACTTCCGGAAACGCTTTGTGACTCTTACATGACATGGCATATATGCTTCTGACAGCACCAAGAGATTGCAAAAGCTTCTCCTTGTGGGACTGATTGTTGGTTTTCCAGTGTTTGGGGCTGAAGAAGGATCTACGTGGTATAACGTGGACACGAACCAGGAGTTCTTCGTTCTCAACCCAAAAGTCGTTCGAGATGTTGGTAGAGGACCACCATGCTGCAAAGGTTTGGGCACTGGAGTGAGGGTCCAAAAGGAGGTTGCTGGTAGCATATCCAATCTTCTTAGCGAAAAAGAGGGGCTTAAACACGGGCAGCTTGTCGTCCTTGGGATTCTTTATGACCTCTGAACCATCATCTTGTACTTCACCATCACGATCGGCATCACCCAGCGAACTCACCATCCAACTAGACGAACATCGCATGGATCCTGAACTCGCCGATGCACTCATGAACCCATCGAAGTCATCCCCGCATCCCCCTTCATCGCACACGTCCATGTATTGCTCACCCTGCGAGAAGATGCGGATCTCTCCGGACTCCCATTTGGGGTCCTCGACAAAGGATTTCGGCAACAAGGACGGTTTGACCTGAAAGCTGGATGTCCTGTCTCCGTGATCTCGAGTGGCATGTCCTCTACGCCAAGGTGTCGGAACGTCGCTCTGTTCCTTTCCACATCGAGCATCATTCCCATCTTGCCCAGCGCACTCCGCGAGACAAGCAACGGCACATCCCCGTTGACCACTGCCACCTTGAGCCCAATCTTGTAGTTTCCAAGCCTGAAACACAAGATTACACCGTAGGTCGCCACAAAACACCTTCGAGGCCCCGAACTTGAACGCTTCTCTGCATGAAGTGAACTGGGGTTCACACTCTAGTCGCCGCGCCTCAGCAAGATATCCGTCTATCCACCCTGCCCCAGCAACTGATCTCGAGCATGCGGTGTCCGTGATCGCCAGAAGGTCCTTGCCCAGGTAGCCGTCAATCTCCCATGTAACATGAACAACATGACATGGGAAGTTCGTCTTGGGGTTCTCATTGCCACCAGCACCACCAGTCGTCGTCGCCCGAGTAGCATTCGTCGACATAGTCGATGCCTCACCTCCTGTGCGGTTCAGGGGGCATACTGCATCCTTATGCCAGTGGCCACGTCTTTTGCATCCTGCACAGAACGACTTTGCCTTGGCGGACTTAAGCTTCTCGGCAGCCAAACGTTTGAGGGTATCCGGATCAGAACCCCTGAGCTTCGCATTCTCCCTGTAGCGTTGCTTGGCCGACTCATGCGTCATGTATGCCTCGAACAGGTCGTGCGCGACTTCCTCAGCAACGCATTCCTGGTCGCCCTCATCGAAGACGGAAGGCTCGGTGGTCTCAAAGGCCTCATACTCATCAATCTCCGCGAGGTTCGCCGTGTAGGGTTTCTTGGGGGTCCAATCCTTCCGAACTCCTTTATGTTGGTTTTCCCACGGTTTACGTAGACCCCGATCATGTACGATAGCTGCTTGTTGTAGGGCTTTGAGGGAGTATTGGTTTCCTACCGATGCCAAAAGATTGAGTTCGGCTTGCTCTTCCAAGCCCATGCGGTCCACAAAGACCCATGCTGCAGCCACATCGGGGAGTTGACATCCCACTTCGGCAAGGCGTGCATACGCCCTGTCGAACTCCGCCATATAATCCCTGACAGATTGATTGCCTTTGCGATGCAGTCCCCGAAAGAAACCTGAAAGGCTGCGCCCGATCTGAGTGACCTGAACGTCCAAGTAGCGGTCCTTAATCCAGTCAACCAAATAGTCGACTCCCTGGCGGCTGGCAAGCTTGTCCATGTCCAGCCTCTCAGCATCGACCCATGCCCGATCGGTCAAGTGTTGGTACAAGGTCAATCCTTGCTGATCTTCACTCATCCTTGTCATACGACGCCATGTGGAGACTTGCCGTAGATAGGAACGTGCAGATGTGCCGAGGTCGTCCCCGGTGCTGGGTGTCAGGCCCGAGAACGACGGCACAATCATCTTCTCGGAAGGTCCTCTGCTGTTCTCTTCCCTGCGTCCGCTCATAGCTTTGCCTTGCGCATCTGTAGAAGGGCCCCAACCGTCCGGTTGTCCCTCATAGCTTCGAGACTCACCAAGCGACACATGCCTGGCCCAACGGTCCGACGAAGAATCCTTCGAAGCTCCATCGGGGCCGCCATCTGCAGATCCAGGGCCCGTCGAGGTTGACCCCCAAGGCTTTGGATCGTACCAGGTCCCACTCCGTGCAGTCCAAGGGTCGTCGGCCTGAGCCCACCCAGGCTTGTTCCACCCTCGACTGTCGTTTCCCCAAGAGTGACCCCATTGGCTCGAGTGCCAACCATCACTCCACTGTTTCCAAGCGCCTCCCGATGACCAGTCACCGCTGGTCTGGCCATGATCATCACGAGGAGCATCATCGACACCTGCTTCTCTAGATTCACGGCCTACGCCATCACCATGTTCGTGCGGAGGGTCGTCATCAGGTTGTTGGTCACCACTGCGCTTAGGATAACCAGCATAAAGACTAGAGGGACCACTGGTCGCCATGGCACAAAAAACAGGGCACACCGGCGAGACAAAGCTGTACAGGTCCTAGGAGCGCTAGTCGCTCCGCTACCAATTTAGAACTAGAGGCGGAAGCCCTGATCCCCTGGCCTCCACGAAGCGCCCAATGCACCTTTTTTGCAGTCTTGGGCCGACTCATGCGCCTGCAAGCAGAACGTTCTTCCCATTCGAAACCCTTCGAGCTTTACACTAACCCCCTAAACCCCAAAACCCGAAACCACTAAACCCCTGCACCCTAAGCTGGACTTCGGAGGGCGTTCGGGGGTCAGGAAGGTCAGGGGTTTGGGCAGCTCCCGTCGACCCTGAACGCTCAACGCTAATACATATAAATATATATATATATAATATATACACATATACATACATATATATATACACACATATATATATATTATATATATATATATAGAGAGAGAGGTATAGGAGCCTATAAGTACTTAGCAATACCATTTTTTTTTTTGGGGGGGGTCCTTTATATGACGTTATAGTATAACATACCCCGAGATCCTAATTATTTTAACTATTAAGGCACCTTTTTCTTACAACACGACCCAAGCTTCAACTTCCCTATTTTTGGGCAAAGCCCGGGGCTCCACCAGCCCGAGTCCCCCATGGAAGCCGAAATTCCCCCAGAAATAAAGCTCTGGGGTCGAGGGTTTAAGGTTTAAAGTTTAGGGTTTTGGGTTTAGCCCCAAAATCCGAAATTCCAAGACGAGAGTCCGAAACCCCCGTCCCAAGCCCCCAAACTTCAAAGCCCAAGACCTCTAAGATGAGGAGATCGCAGTCGGGAGGCGCACAGGCAGCAAGCCCCTGAAGCTGCAAGGAGGGGCGGTTTCGGGGTTCAGGGCTTCGGGTTGAGGGTTAAGGCTTGGTCGGGTTTTTTCGGGTTAACGTTTGGGCTTGAGGGTCGAGGGTTTGGGGGGCTCGATGGTTTAGGGTTGAAGTGTTCGGGGGGTTTAGGGCACAAGAGCCGCGTAGTACCCTAAACCCTAAACCGTAGTATAGACCCCTGATACATAAACCCACTGCCTTTAACAGGGTGTATCGCAGCGCTGTCGAAGTCCTCGTAAAAGCCATAGCCACCACAGCCTAATTTCGTATACACGTAATGGGTTTAGGGTTTCGGGCTTGGTAACTGTAGCATATTATGTTCACGCCTTCCTCAAAGTCTGCACATGGCATCATAAACCGAATTCCCTAACCTCCCAGGTACCTACTATATAGGGTACTAGAGCCCCTAGGGCCCTATATAGTAGGTACCTGGGGGGTTAGGGAAAAGCGGCGTGCAGCCTAGTTTAGTGATCGTCTCTTCACGCTGTGAGTGAGGCTAGGCATACAAGTGGAAGCAGCCAAGGGAGGCTCATACGACGGAACGGCTCACTTCTAGAGGCATGATTGAACATGAGATCGTAGCTCTGAGAATGCATGTGTTTCTGGAGCATTGCTCGGCTTTGCGTTTCAGTGCCTCTCACAGACATATCACCGAGGATCGGGCATAAATACCGTGCCACCCGGGGACCCTTCGCCGGTTTCGCAGTATCAGAACATATGATGAAAGCTCCTGCAGCGAGCTTCTTGATTGGATTGGGGCGTGCTTTGTCGGGTGTTGAGAGGGCTCCGAGGTGCCTTCGGCAGACTCAATCGAGGGTTTTTTGGGTACAGGGTTGCGTGTTTCGGGTTGTTCCTATCAATACTATAAATCCTGCATGACCTTAAGGACCCTATACTATGGGAGTTATGGTATATTCCTTATTATGGGTGATGCAGGATTTCTATCATCAACCGTATGACGGAGAGGAAGACCAAGAAGGTTGGCCATGCCTCGGAGCCCAACTCTCTCTTTTTGACTGCAAATCCCGACAGCTAGAGCCGCTGAGATGCATTGCCCTCGAAAGCAGGTCTGTGCGTTCCAAAGGGCCATGAATCGCATTTTGGGAGTTAACACTAGTTGCGAAGAAGGAACCCTAACCCCCCAGGTACCTACTATATAGGGTACTAGAGCCCCTAGGGCCCTATATAGTAAGTACCTGGGGAGGTTAGGGGAAGGGAAGCACTACGTTTGAAGATCATCAGCTGTTGAGGCTGTGAGCATCACCGGCACTCCGCACGAAGCGGGAGCCGATAGGAATCGTATTTCTGTCGCTTGCAATCACGCGTTTAGGGTTTAGGGTTTAGGGGGATGGTTTAGGGGTCCGACCTGGTTGTAAATGGCAGCAGCAGGTCCACAGCAAAAGGCTTGAGGGTTCGGGGTGAAGAACTTCTCAAGGGCCGTGGGCAAAGACCGCTCTCAGATTGAGGAGCAGGGGCTACCTATAGTCTCCATTGTGGTTCCTTGTTTTGGTTTAACCAGTTTTATATTAAGGATCCTGAAAGGTAACCCCAAACAGGAACTACAATGGAGACTATAGGTATGTGCAGTCCTGTCGCCAGAAGAAGGTTTTCTCCGCCTGACCTTATGCTAGGGTTGAGCCTTGGCATCCTGTGGAAAAACATGAAACTAAACATCGGTGTTGCTGGCATGGGCGACATGCTTCTTCTGGCATGTGAGTGTCAGCCTATACTGCGCGGTTCCGCCGCAAATTGGAAGACACTATTATCTGTGCACTGCTGTGCTGTCGGAAGAGTTCCCCTCACATACTCCAGTAGCGCAGTGTGTACTGGTGAAAATGTCTAGCTTTGGTTCAGAAGCAGCCAATATGCAAAAGCATGCAAAGTCCCACCCGCCAAGTATTGTCGGGAAGAGCGAGGCTGGTTCGTAGTCACAGGCCAAGGCACATCCACGGTACTCCTGAAATCTTAGCAGCAAATGCACTAGCATTCTCATGGAATTTGAAGCTCCGAAGACTGCACAAGCTTTGCAAACTCACAGAGACACAGCTCCGCGAGCCACAGTCTTTCGGATCCCGAAAAGAACGGGGTTTGAGCAGCACGGCGCAGCGGAGCGGAAAGCAGCGCAAGAGCTGTTCAGAACCTTTCCAAAAAGGACCCTTCTGGTTCAGAGCTCCGTGTTCCAAGCGAAGCGGCGTGAGGAAGCGAAAGAGAATCGTGAATAAGCGACCCTGGCTTCGTTTGAAACTCGCTTTCAAGGATCTCATGTGGTAACAGTGGTAACCCTCATTGTAGCCCTTAACTTCGCAAAGAGCCGCTGCTATTCGTGCCCTCCCAGAGATTTCCAAGACATGTGTTAATTCGATTCTCGGACGGGCAGCCGAACACTGCTTGAATTGCTTTAGGGTTTCGATGGTTGACGGGATTTCATGACGGATGCATGTGTCGATGCATGTACAATCTATCGCGACGTGCCGTCGCCTGCACTTGTTCTAGCTGCAACGATATGCCTAGCTCTCTAAATTAAGGGTCCCTGTTCCCAGAGAGCCCAATACCCCTTAATTAAGGGATCTACCTTAAATCATAATATTAAGGCCCCTATGATTCAAAGTATATTCCTTACTTGTTTAAGGGGCATTGGGGTCTGTGGGTTTAGGTCCCCAGAGGCTACGGCACCCTTATCAAAAGGATCCCAAACAGGGACCCTAACTTAGAGAACTGACCCATACCTAAACCCCCCCCCCAAAAAAAAAAAACTAGGTAAAATAATGGCCCAGGACCCATACAAGTCTATTACTCTACATACTTTGGGGGTCCAGGTACTCTTAGATTCTTGACAGGATGCTCGGCGGTCCGCCATGTGGTGCATAAACATCGCAAAAGCGATCACGCGTACCAGTGCCAGCGAACAGAAAAAGCAAGGGAGCAAGCTGCAAGCACCCTTGTCAACCAGACGTGTTTCAAGTGCGATGGCTTTCAGTGGACCGGATTGTCCTCAGGCCTGCATCTTTATCTTCATGCCGGCAGCCCAGTCACGGTGGTCCAGGCACTCAACACATCTTATGCAATACGCAAGCAGATGTATGTTTATAATATTGATACTAGTTCTACTGCTCATACTAATACCAATACGAAGACGAATAGTTATGTATGTATGTATGTATGTATGTATGCATGCATGCATGCATGCATGCATGCATGCATGTATGTATGTATGTGTGTATATACACACATAGATATGATGTGTGTGAAATACGAAGACACAGACGGGCTGCGCACATGCTGCGTCGCCGGGCTTCCCAAAACTCTCCAAGTGAACTGAGTTTAAGCTACCAGAATTCAGAGATACAGGAAACAACGATAGTAGTCAGTAGTAAGAAGACTACGAAGACGAATAATGCATCATAGTATGCGAATACGAACAATAATCGTAGCAACAGTACGTGCGATACTAATACTTTGGACTAAGGTTAACGATAAGATTGACCGTGATGCAAACACAATAGCAACGACAACAAGAGCTATAATCATGAAAGCGCACTTCCTTTATGACGGTATCTTGAACGAAGTTCCCTAGCCCTAAACCCTAAAACCCTAAACCCTAAACCCGAAGCCCTTAGTTCCCTAGACCCAAGACGGGCCTCAACGACAGACACCGAGGTTGGCCGTCGTAGAGGACCTGAACGACACCTTTCAGCTCGCAAGGACCGGAAAGCTGGTTCACAGCTTCGAGAGCTTCAGAACAATACTGATGGGCAATGAGGGACTTATAGTTATAAGATTCATAGATGGGGCTTAGGATTTAGGATTTAGGGTTTAGGGGTTTAGGGGTTTAGGGTTTAGGTTTAGGAATATTATACAATATAGATTATACAAATTTGATCATGTGGGATCCCCGATACAGGGGCGGTACAGGACTCCTCAGCCTTTATCCCAACAGCTCCACGCAAAGCGGTAATCAGTATTGCATGTATCGGCTAGTACATGCACACACCCCCACACACACACACACACGCAAAATACATACATGCATACATACATACATACGTACATACATATACAAGTGCGCACACATGCATGTACAAGAGGGAGGGAGGGAGGGAGCGAGGGAGGCAAACGGATACCTGCGCGGGTGTGTGTATGCACCGCTCTGT